GAAGAGCGTGTGGAAAGTGAGGGACAAGAAGGGTAAGTCGCGGATCATCTCCGCAAAGAAAAAGAAGAAGAGGAAATGCAGTGTCAGTGATGATGAAATTGGAAGAAAGAACAAGAAGATGAAGACTTCAAGCGCAATTCCAAACAATGTGAGTGCCCATTTCTCTCAATCTCCTTGAATTTAGGGATAACTAATATAAAAATCCAGACTTTGATAGAGTGTTGTCTGACTTGTTCTTGCTACTGCTACTGCTTCTGCTCCATTACCATGTTTTAAGTGAATTCCAAAACTGCAATCTCAATTACTTGACTTCAACGGCGTCCTATAAGTTTTTGTAACTCTTATCACTGCAAAACTGAAACATCTAAAGAGCAGTTGCTTGGGTGTGGTTGAGATCTTAGGTCTAATACCGTATAATACTTGTTCAATATTGTCCTGGTTGAAAAATCTGTGTTTGGAGGCTGCATTGTGATCTAGTGGCTGTTTCATTTCCCTGCTTGTTAACCTCAAAAGCCAAATGCATTTGTTATCTTCATGGCCCAACATCAAAAGCTAAAAGCTGCAAAGTTTGTTGCTTGCTGCCCTGCATTACTTCTGGGGATCAATGTTTTCTTTGGTGTCCAATTGCCAGCACCGTCCATTGACCATGTTTGTATTGCTACGAGGTCTCCCGAAATGTGTTCCAGAAACTCCCACATAGCAGGAAACCTTCCATTTCTTACCCATGTTGAATCTGAATCATATAATAGTTTGCAATTCTTTTCTGTTGTTTTGTTGGATCTTTTTCGACTGAGAAAAATGGATTTTGAACTGAACTAAGCTGCAAAAAGTCATGTTTCAAACTTGTGCTCTTCACAGAATCCGCAGAACCAAGAGGAAGACGTTTATGAAGACCTGGAAAATGATATCGACCGAGTTCATGAGAGCAGGCAAGTTTTCATTACCATCAAGCAGTTTCATTTGCGGCTGCCATTTTTTAACCAGTCGCAAACCTTGCAGTTGGAATCTAGAGAGACTTTTCAAATACCAATAGCTATTTCAATCGGTATTACTTGTTCTAGATGTATGCCAATGTCGGTTTTCCCTCTTCTGTCAGATTTTACCCTAGAAATCAGGAAAAGAAGGCTCATAAAGGGCACCCACAAGCAGGAAGAACGACCAACCACAAGGTCACGTCAGAGCCACTAAGATTTGATGGCTTTAAAATCCCAACGGAACAAGTAAAAACCTAAGGACAATGCGAAGCTTTTTGAGTTCATGAGCCAATTGGTACACTCCGATAAGCATGTGAAGAACATGTATATTATATTGTCCTGTTTATGACATTGTTGTTTTTTAGTATATCCCCTTCTTGTTTCACCATGTACCCATTTACCCCCATCTGTTCAGAATTCTGGTTCGTTATCTTTCTCAGAAAATCAAAACATTCCTTGAGTTTTTTTTAGGAGATACGAGGGAATCAGCCGATGCCAATATGTACACTGTCCGTCTCCTGAACACTCTACATTTACTCAAGAACCCTAATTCCAAGACCGGCGAAAAGGAACTATTTGGGTTCAAATGGGGACAACCTTATTCAGCTAAAGAGGATTCCTTCACTGGTTCAGTTGCTAAAGGCTCCACCTTCTCGGCCTTCCCATCTTCCTTGGGAATTATCAGACCATACCCTCCTTCTTTTCTCTTGTACACTATGTTGATCTCTCCTGGGACCAATACAAAGTTTCAGTTATTTTTTTCCTGATGTTTTCAGCAATCGGGCATGCAGTGATTGTAAATGTAGCATACCGGTTTCTTCATTCCGGAAGCCATAGAAGTCATGATCCACCAATTCCAGCTGCTCAATAGCCTCGGCGACAGTCAAAGGTGGCATCTCGAAGAACTTGGTACGAACAATCTGCAAAAGCGTCATCAGTAACTTAAGGACTCAAACCCAACACAAATCCGGTTGTGGAAAGGTTTCTGGGCGGAACCTCATCGATCAAATCTTCTTCTTGTTCTTGTTGTTGAGCGATTGGGATAGCAACATCATCGTCTTCCTCCACAATGGCCTCAGCCACTGGCTCTCTCACCTTCAACCTGTTGAAACCCTTCATGTGCCTTCCATGGTCAGACTCCTTCTCCTTGATCTTCCTCAGTTTCCGCTGTATGATTGATGATACCAAGTCTATACAACTGTATACTGTGTCGGTGTCTTCCTCTGCCCGCACAACTCCGTGCTTCTTTGTAAACAACGTCACCTAATAACGACATGTGAGAAAGAAAGAACGGTCTTGAGCGGAGAGAACAGAGAAGAGAAGAAGTTATTTACTTCGCATCTCCGAATTCTCGGGCCTTTCCCAAACTCGCCGCCCCGCACAGAGAGCCTAACATCGACTTCCCTCACGAGATGGCTGTGCTTCTGTACAGCTTTCCCTACCTTGTCCTCCACATGCTGCTTCACTGCTTCTGTTAACTGTGGACAAAATTTCAACTCCAACTTAGGAAACCTCATAAGAAGTAACAATCTGAAGCAAAGTTGAATACTTTCTGCCTACATTTGGGCAAACCACACATTTTTTCCACGTGATAAATCTCTCATCCGAACAACCAATCATGTTTTCGACCATAACACAACCTTCTTGCCATATCAACATGTGATAAAATTATCACACATCATAACTTCACCTACCAAACATGTGTTCTTGGACAGGAACACAACTCTTGAAAAAGAAAAAGCAGTAGGCCAAAGCATCCGTGAACTAACGGTAGCTTTTTCATACCTCGTGATTTTTTTTTATAGAACAGACTCACCATCCAAAATCAATATGCAGTAAACCTACAACTTCATGACTTCTTTTCTTCCTTAATTGGCATTCTTGACAAGAAATGAAAATAATGGCGCATTCATCAGTAAATATCACATAATATCACATAAATATCACCCTGACAAATCACATAATATCACAAAAAAATCGAATTTTTCCTTGCAAAAAAAAAAATCGCAGTCCATTTATATAATTCGCATTTTTTTGGTCCAAATTTCAAAAAAACAAATCAAGGGCTCGGGAGTAGTGAGGCAAACCTCGAGGTTTTTTCCTTGAATGATCAACTTGACTGAAGCCAACGGACCGTCCCACGACATTCGCACCACGAACGATCTGCACCGACCCGTTTTCCATGATCCGGATCCGGATACAACCCGTCTCAGGTCATGTCCGATGTGGCCCACGAAAGCAGAACGAAGCCTAGTTGACCCGGCTCTGCTCGGACCCACCATTGACACCGCCCTCGACGAAGGCGAACTCGGCGGCGCCAGCGATACTGAGGCGCCATGGTGGTGAAACTTCGCCTGGGAATAAGCTAAAAGCGTCGCCATGGGAGAGAGATTCGAGATGTGATGAGCTTCTGCGTTAATCTTCTTGCGGGGAAAGAGATTTGGAAGAGCTTTCCAGTGTTTGGATAGTGGGAAAATGAGAAGGGAAACGGAAGAAAAATACAAGGGTACTGGATAACAGTGTAAACGGATAAGGACACGTGACAGGGGCGATGTCTTGTTTCGGTCCATCCTCCCGGTGAATCTCTCTTTGGGAGCTTATATTTGTGAAATGACCCTTTACTTTTTCAAAATTTTAAATTTAGCCTAATATTACTGATTTTTATTCTACGTCCTCGCCGATGATTTTCATAATTAAAAAAAAAAAAAAAAGGCTCGAGGCCGATATTTTCGGTGCACATGGAATTTAGGCCCTCATGTATCCAAATAATTGACATTGGGCCCTCATGTAAAATATCGAAAACGAAACGCAATTGGGCCGTAGACTTTTCCGTGACGACCGCTATTATCCTCATGAAAAATATATTTAAATTGAATTTAAATGAACAATTGTATCTTGATAAGTAGAAAAACACCATATTATTTTTTTTTCTTAACTAAAACACATCATATTACAATATTTCTAAATTTTATTCTAAATTTTAGAATACAATTACTTAGTTTAGATAGCATACTATGAGAAAAACCTTGCATCGTACATATATTTTAGTTATGTGATATATAATATATATAATAGACAAGTCCTGGTGATTAGGTGAAATTACCAATCGTCCCATGTTGGGGACATAATGGCAACGTGTCGTATTATCTCGCTATGTCTCCTATGTAATACATGTTACATCATCATCATCATCATCATCATAAGCTTTTCCCCACTAAATCGGAGTTGTTATCTTATGGCTACTGAAATAATGATTCTTATTATTGTTATTATATTCGTATGTTGATTTCATTTCATGTTTTTTTGCTGGACTTTGTTACTCGTTTCCAAATTCTAAACACCTGCCCGCAACAAATTAAAATCATATTTTTGTTCCCTATGATTTGACGACATCATGTATATATATGTATATATCTTAAATTATTTATTTATCTCGATACTCTTGATGTTACACATACATATATATATATATATATATATATATATTAATTCAACCGGATATTAGCATCAAGATATAAATTCTCAGTGTATTTCAATATAAAGCCTTTACAAAAAAAAATGTAAAGAAAAAACTCGTGCAAAAAAGTTTTGAATAAAAACACGAGTGAGTCATATGGCAATTGTATACCACTATTTTATTTAATGTTTTTTTTCCAAAATAGAACAAGAATTTGAAAAAAAAAAGAAGATAAATTAGAAAATATCAAGCAGACAGAAAATATCTGTTTTCGTCAAAATGGATGGCCAGTGAAGAAAGGGAACCAGAATATCTTAGATTTCCGTTCCTTATAAAATATTCTCCATTCGACCACTCTGCCGAAGCGCGTGCGCTCACTCTCTCAAGGGCAATATATATAGTTACGATATGACTATATCATATTATTATCATCGACATTATTTTAACATAAATCCTATTCTATGATAGAATAAATTGACAAGTTATTGATATGAGTGAAAATTAAAATGAAATAATATACTTTGATTCAATTTGGATAGATCGACCGATAAAACGTTTATCTAATTTATTTTTTAAAATTGAAAAAAAAAATATTCTAATCATATAACTTATTCTCAGCTCCAAAATTAATCTGGACTTTGGTCCACATAAAATAAACTAATATACACCGGAACTATTGGTCAATGTGAAAATAAGAAAGACTGATGGGCGGGACAATCGACGGCCAGTGAATTAGATGGCGAGTACAATGGAGATGGCATACGCGCGGCGCGTAGAATAGCAAAGATAGATATTTGTCCTAGACAGCAACCACAAAGAGCAAGTGGTGTCGATTAACATCCACGTGTCAAGATCTTATCCACCCTCTTGCCTTCCTCCCAAAATATCTAGCCCATTAGCCTTTGTGGTCCCCACATCTGCCACGTGTCCCTACCATGAAGTATCTTTGCTGTTTTCCACACGTATCTAAATGTTTGAAAAATTGAAACCAATATGTACGATTAGATATTTGTTATGTATAAGTTCTAAAGCTTAATATAAAAAATAATAATAAAAAATCCCAAAAAATCAATCATTTTTTAAAATTTCGCATAAAAACCTTTTTTTTGTTCCCTAAGCCAAGTATACTTTCTTGTCATAAGCACACAAAAACTATTGTATTTTCTAATTTATATATTTTATTTCAATTATGAAAATAGTTTTTATAATGTTACATTCGTATTTCTAATATTTTTTAATTTGATTTGGAATATAAAATTAATAAAATTATAATTTTTTATGTGTTTATAGATAATTGTTTTATTTTAATCGTATATTAAGGATGTTTTTAATTTTTTAAAATAATTGATCGTTAGATGAGAAAAAGCACAACATAAATACAATAAAATATTTAGTTAATTATGATTTTCTTGATTCATACGGTACAATATAGATTACAAATGTAGACATATGATATGAGGTTTATAATTTTGTTGAATAAATAAAAGCGGAAATAAAAATTCAACTTTAAATGTGCACCACCAAATGACCACACACCAATTAACAAAAAGGTCAGTTTGGCATTTTGGATCTTCCGAACAGTACTTGCTGACGTGGCACATGTGGGCCACGTCATCCGACTCTTCTAGATATTTGTGCGGCCTTTCGCAGCTCTCCGAAGTTTTCCGGACCGTAGGATCATGGTCAGTTGGCAGCACACTTCGATTCTCAGCCGTTGGATGAGACTATTAGATATTCAGATATTTTTATTCCTCCTCGCGGTGGACGAGATTCCAGATAGATTTTTTCGCAACATTTCCACTCAGATTTTCCGCTTCTTTGCATTTTCCTCCTCCTGAGGCTTCGATTTCGCGAGATGGTAGAAGTGGTTGTGAGCAGCGAAGAAGTGGTGGTGGCTGTGGAGACGGCGGCGGAGGAATCTGCGGAAGGCGGCGGAGAGAAGTTGCAGCGGCGGCGGAGGCAGAGGAAAGACGCCCGAGAAGGGGGAGATGGAGACGGTCTGGTGAAGTGGGAGAGATTCCTTCCGAAAATCGGTTTGAGGGTTCTGCTCGTTGAAGCCGACGATTCGACGAGACAGATAGTCGCAGCCCTTCTCAGGAAATGCAGTTACAGAGGTCAGTTCTGGTTCCGATGTTTATCTGTTTCAATGTTGTTAGACTCGGAGTTTCCTTTGTGGGTTTCGTTTCAACATGGAGATTTCGTGGTTCTTTGCTGTCTCTGGGTTCGCGCTTCGAGTTCATGATCTGTGTTCGGTCTACGAGCATGAAAAAGGTAGGAACTTTTGGATTCTCCCAAGTAGTTTGGCTATTCAACGGGAACATCATTTGTTGTGGGGGTAATCTGACAGTAAAATACGAGGAACTGAATAAAGCTGCCAATGATCCGATGCCAAGAACTTTAGGAATGTTAGGCTAATTTTAGTAAATGCCTTGGAAAGGGAATTCGAGATAGTGAGAAAGTTATTGGTTTCTGTTACCGTATTGATGTTCTCTGTTGGTTTTGTCTGTTCAAAAATTTGAATAAAGATTCCAGAAAGTGGTTGTTTTTGAAGCAAAGGAAGGATGTTGCTGGTGATTTAAGGTTTTATATATTGATTCTCGTCATTGGCGTGACTACAAGGTTTCAACTTTCACAGATAATCATTTTCAGAAACCTTCAGCTCTAGTTTCCGAAATCTGCAGTCTGCATAGAATCTCTCGTGTGTTTTGTGTCTTTCTGTGCCTTCTGATGCCACCATGTATCTCCCATTGCGATTGCTGGTGTGTTATGAATATTAATATGGTTCAGGTTCCCATAGTTACTATCTGCATTTACCTCGGTTTCTTTCTAGTGTCTTTATTCTTCTGATGCATCATACCTTCCTTCCTCACACCCATACTCTCTGGTACTAAAATTACATTGCCATTCCATAACGGTCTTATGGGTTTGACAATGTTTTTCGTGTCGTTCCCCTACAGTTGCTGCTTTTCCTGATGGCTTGAAAGCGTGGGAGATGCTGAAAGGAAGGCCTGAAAGTGTGGATCTGATATTAACTGAGGTTGATCTGCCATCAATTTCCGGATATGCACTTCTAACTCTCATCATGGAGCATGACATCTGCAAGAACATTCCTGTCATAAGTACGGAGAATTAGAACACTTACTTTACACCAAGCGGAGTCTGTTTAGATTGTAGAAGCAGCTGATTACATTCTGTTGTTCTTGGATTTTTTTTTCTGCAGTGATGTCAAAACAGGACTCGGTTAGTACAGTGTATAAGTGCATGTTGAGAGGAGCAGCTGATTATCTTGTTAAACCGTTGAGGAGGAATGAGCTGAGAAATCTATGGCAACATGTCTGGAGAAGACGGCATGTATGTCCTGCTCGATCTTGTGCTATTTGTTGCTCATATTACAATAATTTGTCATGTGACTGACCTGTTTCAATCTGTTCCTTAAGAGGTCTTGAGATTTTTTTTTTTAGTTTTAAAGATTGTTGAGTTGGGGTTCTGTTCTTGAATCTCTTTGACAGTCATTTGCTGCTGGGGACATGCCGCTTGATGAGAGCGTGGGACAGAAGAAGCTCGAGGGCACATCTGATAACAATTCCACCAGCAACCACAGAAATGCCATTGAGAAAGATGAACAACCAGTGATCGGTAAAGGCAGTGATGCTCAGGTTAGTCTGCAATGTCTATCTATTATTTAGCTCTGCTCCTTATGTTTCATCTTATTCTCAAAGCAATCTTCCTCACATATTCAATAAAGTTTGCTCCTTTGGATATTCCTCACATTCAAAAGAAAGTATGTTCCTTTGTGGCATTTGTTTGTAAGTTTTGCGCCTGTTCCTCTTGCAGAGTTCGTGTACAAGGCCGGAACTCGAAGGCGAGAGCGTGGATGTTGCTAATAACCAGAGGGATTTGTTACAGATGAAGAGTGGGAAGCCTCTGTTCAATGATATGCAAGTCCCGGAGAACGAGACAGAGAGTAAGCGATATTCTTTATGTTCTGCAAGCTCGCAAAATGTTCGAAAGTTTACAATTTTCGTCAAATTCACTAGTAACGTTGCTTGGTTGGGTGATTTTAGGCATTCATGGTGTTGAAAATGTAAGAGGTGTGGATAGAGACTCGTGTAAAGAGGCCATAGACTTCATGGGGGCATTGTTCAGAAGAAATGAAGAATGTATTAGAGAAGAAATTACAGCCAAGTATGAGTCTCGGCTTGAACTCGATCTCTCATTGAAAAGATCTAACACTTCTGAGAACCCGTCTTCCACAGATCGGCCTGGTCTCTGGCCATCTATTGCCTCGGCTTTCACACCGTTAGTCATCATCTCACGCCTTTTGCCAAAGTATTGAGTCTTTTGCCATCTTTTACTAATATGTGCTATTGTTGTTGCAGGTATGTTCACAAGCCCTTGCAGACACAGTATTCAATCTCGCGCGAGGTTTCGGATCAAAGATTATGTGTGGTGGAAAATCAGAACGATAAAAATTCATCTGAAGTGACGACTTTCAACCATTCCAATTCATCAGAACCACCTCCAAGCGCTCTGAGAAGAGCAAATGCTCCGGGGCCACCTCCAAACATCCAGACAAGCCCATGGTCACACCAGAGCTCTTACCCGGTGCCAATTCCCGTAAAAGGTATACGTTTCAGTGGCCAAAACTTGGGATACACTTCTGAAATGGCACCTGTTATCATTGCTCAGTCAAGCCCTTCACCAACACCGAGTCCTAGCTCCATTAGCCCGCAAGAGTATAGTTCCCGGCTTCACCCGTGTCCTCATTCCAGTCTGGAAAATGGTACACCCGAGTGTTCGCAAGAGCGAGATGGTTACATTAACCATTCCACATCGCCAAAAGGGGCTGGGTACAAGCCGGATTCTGTGGAAGAGAGAAGATACGTCTCCTCTGTGACTGAACAGAGCGTATTAGGCAGACTCTGCAATGCTGATCATCATCTGGAGAAGAAGAACGAAGACGAGTTTCCATCACCCAATGGAAAAAGTCAACGTTCTCTTCAACGGGAAGCCGCTCTTTCTAAATTCCGCATGAAACGGAAAGATAGGTGTTTTGAGAAAAAGGTGCAAACTTTGATATTCACATCTATACTTCAACCTCAAACAAAGAACATCGTGAATCTGCAAGCGTGCAACGGCTAAAAAAAAGAACTATGTTTCACTTGCAGGTGCGGTATGAGAGCCGGAAAAAGCTGGCAGAGCAACGGCCACGGGTGAAAGGGCAGTTCGTACGTCAAGCCCAAGTTTCTGAGCATTCAGCATCGACAACACAAGCTCCAAATGCAGCAGCTCAAGATAATCCCTCGTGATGAAAATCCCCCCGAACCCGATACATATAGTACGATTTTGCATCGAGTAGGGAGTTTGCTTCTGGTTCTTTCTTCAATGTTCAGCTCTCTAAGAAGCCCTTTTGTCTCTGTCTGAAGGGTGTTGTATCTGTACATACAGTACTGTAGTGTGTTCGTTTGAATACGATGATCTACTTAGATGTAATGTATTGCTTTTGTTTCTGGTATTTGTACAAAAAAAGTCATCAGGTAGCGGTGAAGCCCCAAGGCCATTGAAGAGGAAGATGAAAGAACAAAAGCTTCTATGACTACTGACTTTGTGATTATGTTCCGCACATGTATTTGTGTAAGGATCTCCTCAATGTGTGTATGTTTACTCTGATGATAAAAAAAAAACGTTTAAAGATCTTTTTCCTGTTGATATCGGAGACGTGAAATCTAAGGCAATGGCCCAAAAAGAAGAAAAACAGAGAAGTGAGCGACAATTCTACGAATAAAAGCTGCAAAATTTTTACAAGTTTTGAGCAATTTACACGACTCAAGCAATGGCGGCGAAGAAGGATGAAGCAGCGGCTACTGAATTATGATTAAATCGAGAAACTCTGTCTACATATCGAAGTATGTGTATGAACGTATAGGCAACGCAAGGAACATAGCAAAGAAGGAACTGATCACTGTAATGGCGGCAGAGACATCTGCGGGAAACTTTCTCAGGGTTGAACCAAATCGGGACTAACCCATTTCCAGTGATGCCGTTTCACGGTGACTGCTTTCCCGGCGGCGGCGCGTGTTCCCTCCTCTGCTTCTCCGCCGTACTCCGTCTCCTCCGTGCAGAAATCTCCGTCCGGTAGCCCCTCCACCGTCGCATCCACCGAGTGCAGAACGTATATCGCTGGCAAGCCCGGGTACGACACCGAGTTCCTCTCTTCAACACGTCTGCTATAGGAGCCCGGAAAAATACTCATCTTTCCCTCGCCGGTATTTTCTTTACCGCTGCCGTCATTAATAAAGATGGATCCTAGCTCCTCCTTGACGGCGCGGAAGACCGCTTCCTCGGGAGTTTCGTCGGGCTTCATCTTCTCCGATAACGGGCGAAATCTCTCCCGGATGCTCCCGTCAGATAATTCCTGGTGAGATTCCACCAGAATTCTGCCGTCTTTTCCGATCACGCGAACGGTGACGACGTTGACGTTACGGATCGGCGGGATCGAGTCGGCGAGCGAAGTCTCGCCATCGGCGAGCTCTAGCCAGAGGTTATGGACGTTCTTCGTCCCGGGTTTCACTCCCCAGGCGGCGAACGAATCCGACGGCAACCGAGTCTCCAACCAATCAGACAGGGACTGGGGGCTGGCGAAGCGGCGGACGAGCGGGGGAGCTTGCGGCAGAGGAGATCGGGGACGGGACATGCCGGTAAATCGCCGGCGAGGGTTTAAAGGGGAAGAGAGGTT